ATGTATAAATGTCTAGACCGTTTAACATATACAATACTAGTATACAGAATTCAAAAAGGGATTAAGATTTTTTTTTTCTTTTTTGTTAAAAAGATAATGAAAACTTCTAAATTTATGAAGGGTCCTCTTTGATTAATCAATGGTTTAGTAACACTAATGTCTCTAATACACTGGCGATGTATTGATCATATCTTATCTTAATAACAGATCCTAGCTAGATTATAAGTTTAAGTAGGGATCAAAGACATAATGATATAGAAAACAAGTTGCGCAACCTAATAATGTCTTCTCATTTCTTCTTTCAAATCTAGAGTTTATCCTACTTCCCATTATGACTAAGGATTCAAAAAGACTACAAAATGAAATATAATATATAATAGTCAAAATAGCTAGTTCATCTCTAACTAGCTGTTAGGATTCAAACCAAGCTATCGAGTTTATGACTAAGGATTCAAGAAAAAAAAATCTAAAGGGTCCAGGGCCATGGTAAAAAATACCTGACAAAAAGCTCATTCCCACAAGCATAAAAGAGGAAAATAACTACCATCTCTTTTTGACCATTCCACCACTTCTTATCCAACCTTTTCCACCTTCTTTTAATTGTCAACAAAGCACCATATAGCCATAGCAATACCATAAATTAATCTAACCCCATTAAAATAACAAGCCTGGCCCCACCAATCCAACGGTGATGATCATTTCAAAAGTTGGCCCAACTTAGTATTTTAATCAAAAGGAATTAGAAGATCTTGTAATATCATAACATCACTCATATATATGTTATCAAAATTTGAATATGAAGGAAACACCTACATAACTATAGGGTAGTTAGGACGTTAAAGATAAAAGTAATATTAATAATAAGACGAAGATTATATAAAGAAGAAAATGGTTATGGCCTAGTTTCACGTGAACCCGCGACTATCACGGTGGTTTAATTTAGACTTTGAAAACTTGGAAGAGCGAGACAAACAAAGAGAGGACCCTGCAAGAAAAGAGAGAAAATTTTTGGAGAAACAAGATTCCGGGACTTTTGTGTTTTGATTATTTTGGACCGACTAAAAAGGGTCGTATATATGTGTTACTATTAAATTTTCATTAGAATACTTTCATGAAGTAAGTGAGTTATAATCGTAAAAGTTGACATAGCAAAAGAAAACAGAAAAAACTTTGAAAACGTGTCTAGCAAATATTTCTTAGAGAGGGTGCAAGTGTATGAGATTTTTTTCAAACTTGAAATGATGATTCCTTTTGTTGTTTAATAACTTCAACCAATCGCTTTTTAGGGTTGTGGTTGTCTTGTGACGGTAAGGGACAATCGGTTTTGACTCTATCTCTCATTTCTTAGATGTTTGAGCGTCCACACTTTAACTTCTGAAAATATAGTAATGTTGTATGATTGATGTGCATGAATCTTAGACCTGTAGGATTGTTGACGAAAGTGTAGACTGATTCTCTTTCCGTTTTATCATAACACACTAAAATACAATAACATCCATTAAAATTAAGTAAATAATAGTATAAGATTTTGAGTATAACTATCATGATATATCACAAGTTCATAATAAAATTAAAAATATGTAATGAAAAATATATGTATTTTTTAGTTTTTTACGAGTTTCGTGTCGTGTTCGTGTTAGGCGGGTCTAACCCGAAATTGACCCGTATTTTCGTGTCAATTTCAAGTCGACCTAATTCTGACCTGAACCTCTTTTTTTTCAACCTTAACCCGTGAAATTTGTGTCATTTTTGAATCGTGTTGTCGTGTCGTTACCCATATTACCGGCCCTAATTATGTGTCTCAATTGATTCTAAAAGTGGCAACCCTTTTTTTTAAAAGCAAAATTATTGTTTTTAAGGCTTAGAACTAGAAAGTGATATATATATATATATATGTATATATATACATATACTTTTATTGTTTAAAAGTGATACAAATATATACACTTACGTATAGATATGCTTTTATAATATTTTACTCTTCTTTTATTATTTTCCACTCTTCTTTTAGTGTATTTCTTTAGTAATATATATTTAAATGTAAACTAATCATTAACCGTATGCTAATTGGTACATGACTAACACCAAAAAAACTTGTATTCCAAGACAAATATAGAGAGCTAACTCAAAATCTTTGTTATAACTAATTTGGAGTTTAAATGGTGTTTTAGGTTTGGATGCTTGTGAACACTTGAAAAGAACGTTTTGTTTGGACCTTTCATGGCTTTTCTTGGCCGGCCAATACTAATCCAACAAACACGATTAAGGACGAGAGCCTAAAGTAGTAGTTAGTAGAAAGTGATTATAGGGGCAAGCAAAATTGAACCTTGATTTCTGGGGTGATGGTTTTAATTAATCGCAAAATAATTAATAATGATTTGGCTTTTGATAGATTTCCTTAGAAACCCTTAATTATTTCATAAGGTCCCCTAACTCACCGACAGTAAAACTACACTTAAAAATAATAATAATAATAATAACAAAAAGATGATGAAATAGCAATATATATCATAGATCTCAGCTGGTCCAGAATTAGACTGAATTAGGTTAGAGTTTTTGGGACCATAGCATTTGAATGCAGAAAATTAGGCATAATTGCCATTTGCTACGTGTTTATTAATTCGACGTTGTCATTATACGTATTTGTTAAGAGGATAATAATTCAATAATTATATACAAACTTTATTTATATTATGCTTATCAGAAAAGCAGGAAACATAATTAATTAAGTAGTAAATTAGTCATGTCATCCAATTTAAAAATATTTTATGTTTCATTATTGCTGGCCAACAATGTGAACCGTATTATTATTATACCTACATGAAATGCACTGTATTGCTTCCCTAATTGGAAGCTACTTATGTGCTACATGATGGCTTTTTCTTTCTTTTTCTGGCTTTGGTGTGCTTCAAATATATATATAAATATATATTTATATGATAAGATCAAAAATATTGTTTTGGTTTGCCTCATTTTTTGCATATAAATCTTAGCCTTTAGGCTAGTTAGTTGGATTTGGCATGGCAATTTGGCACTCCAATATTTATGCTTCATATCTCACGCAGGCCGATACATTTATGATGACGGTACTTTACAAAACCAGCTAAAAAGGTGACCTATTAAATATATATTAAATGGCTAATTATTAAGACTGTCTTTCAACAAACAATAAGCAATTAAGACATTTGATGGGTTTTACACAAATAGTAGTGATTTGTACACACACATATATATATATATATGTATATATATTTTTTCTTTACGTTGTTGATGAAGACTTGATCAGACGTTCGTACGGTTGGCAAAGTAGCACTTGCTGCTAGCTACTTTCTTTGTATGAAAGACTAGGACTAGCTACTTGAAAAAATAAAAAAAAAATAAAAAAAATTTATTTATTGAATGCGAAAACGAATCTAGAGCACTACTTGACATAATTGGCGAAGATTCAAGTGAAAATATTCAATCATATGTATCTAGATACTCTTCTTCTTCTTCTATTCTTTTTTGTTGATTAATCTGAAAAAAATAGTCTCTTAAGTTTGCGCCAAATTTCTTTCTAGTCCTTATCGTCAAAATGTCTAAAAATTAGCTCTGATCTATTTGATATAGTGTGAGAAATACTATAGCATCATTTTTCATGTCACTCTTTTTTTTTTTTTTTTTTGCTGTCAGTTGAGAGAGAAGAACTAATTTTATCACTCCAAAATAAATCGATAACAATTTTTGAAGCGTTTTAAATGTCAATTCTTGGTGTAAAGTTCAGGATGATTTTTTAGATTAAACATTTTTTTATATATGTACCATTTGGGATTTAAAACTTAGACTTTCTCAAGTTCTTAACTCTAAGATATTTATGCAGGCTCCTAACTATATAACTTTGCTATACATATATAATTATTCATACATTTTGGCAATCTGAATCAACAATCTCCTTTCTCCAAACCAACCATTTATAAAGCCATTAATATTTTGACTCATTATATGGCATAAGATGGCGACAAAGTTCTTGATGTAGTCCCTGAGGATGTTTTTCATGGAAGGGACACAAATTAACAAAGAGGCCAACTATGCCAACAATTTCCAAACCGCAGATAGAAATTTTTTCCTGTATATATATATATAATCTTTTTTGGATCTAATCTGCTTTCCCACCCACTAAGTTTTCAAATAATGTCACCCCCTTGGAAATGTGAGAAGTCCTTTCGTGAGACATGCGAATGCATGTGATCATCATGAAAAAAATGGTAAATTCATAGGTCATTATCATTCTTTAATGTGGCACTACAAAACTATATTGCATATATATATATATATATATATACACACACACACACAATTACACTATTCACTTTATATATTAATCGGACAAAACTGTAATTTGGTTAATTAAGATCGATGAAAATTGATTTTAGACGTTCGAGCTAGCCATGTTCATGAGGACGTAACTCTTGAGATGAATTGCACTTGCCTCAAAATAATGTTTATTTCTAGTGGTGTCTTTTTAAGCGATCATGCCGTACTATATAATATTGTCACAAAAGAATCTTTCTACCCAAACACGATAAAAAAACATGACGCAAATAAAAAAAATAAAAGTAATTCATAATAATTAAATTTTCACAAATATATGGTGAATGATTTTGTATTTTAAGAAAGAGGATATATTAATTATATCAAGAAAGACTTTCCATGCGTCCAAAGAGAGCATAGGAGACTTTTCTAGTGGTGCCACCAAAAACTTAAAAGAAATAGTACCGCCACATGGGGCAATTAGAGAATTTTCAGAAAGCACCCCTTAGTCCCCCACCACTCCAAGATAAAATTTATAATTATTCATGTCCTCGACATTGCATACAATATAACTTCTTCTCACTCCATTGCCAAAAAAATTAATAATAACAAAAAATAAATAAAAATTAGATAAAAACTCTCTCTCCCTATCTATATATACTCAACGTTGGTTAGCCTCTCTTTCAAACTGCAGCCACATATATATAGTATACTCTCTTATTATTTCTCACTAAAATGGCTCCCAAGGGAGATAATGTTGTTGTCTCTAATATGAAGCTTGAGAGGATGCTTAGCATGAAAGGTGGGAAAGGCGAAACCAGCTATGCCAACAATTCCCAAGCCCAGGTAATTGATATATATATATGTGTGTGTGTGTGTGTGTGTGTGTGTGTGTGTGTGTGTGTATAATTAATCTATGTACTCCCATATATATATTGCTTTACTCCCATATACATATATATATATATATATATTCCTTCTTATGTACATGTATTTTATGAGAGTTCCCATTGTATTTTATGAGAGTTCCCATTTCTTTTCTTCACTAATTTTTAGTTATTTTTACTTAAATTTGTTTCAAGTTCTTAAACAAAGTCTTTGCTTTCATGTATACTCTAATACCAAATATATGAATTTAGAAAGCAAGTTTTCAAATAAGTCTTGTACTTTTGCCACATATGTGTGTGTACACGTATGTATATGTGCAATTGTTTTTTTATAACTGACTAGTGTTAATTAATGCTTGTGAATATAGTGTGTCTAGTATATTTCATGATAATAAACTAAATTTTTCTAACACTCGAGCAACAAAACAAAACCAAGCTTAAACTTTTCTCATTCTTTTGCATGTAATTGTCTATTATACATGTCAAATCTTTTTAACATGTACATATCACAAGTTCTTGTTTCCCATGCAGGCATTACATGCGAAATCCATGCTTCACCTCCTTGAAGAAACCCTAGATGGTGTTCAGCTAAACTCCCCTGAGGTGCCATTTGTGGTTGTGGACCTCGGATGCTCTTGTGGCAACAATACAATCAACATCGTCGACGTGATCATCAAGCACATGATCAAGCGTTACGAGGCCTTGGGATACGAGCCTCCGGAGTTTTCAGCTTTCTTTTCTGACCTCCCTAGCAATGACTTCAACACCCTATTCCAGATCCTCCCTCCGCTAGCCAATGACGGCGGCAGCATGGAGGAGTGCCTAGCCTCCGATAACCACCGCTCCTACTTTGCCGCTGGAGTCCCCGGCTCATTTTACCGGCGACTCTTTCCATCCAACTCCATTGACGTTTTCTACTCAGCCTTTTCCTTGCATTGGCTCTCGCAGGTTTGTTTTTCTTTGATGTCCTCTTTATTACGTCTCTACATATAATAGTATATATATGCATACCAATTCTCGAGTTATATATGTAATATTTTATCTCTATACAAGTTTGTTCCCAAGGACAATATTTATAGTAGTCTTTAATGTAAACCTAGCAAAATTGAATATCCAAGACGTTGAAATATCTTAAACGTTTGATTTCTTGCCGGCTAGAATAGGGTCAAAAAGCTAATGCAACAAAAACTTATGGTTGTCAATATATTGTAAGAGAAAGCAATTCATAAATAAGACAATATATTGGCGTTAAATATCTTCCCCATTGATTTAAAATTTACTCAACCGTACGTTTTGATGATGTCAAAAGTTATGAACTATTTTTTGTGAACAAAAGTTGTGTACTATTGAACTTAATTAGTTGAAGAACCGAATTTAAGATTCTGACATACATTAATTTCTCGTTATACTATGATATCGATGGGAATTTTATATTGTTTTGTACAGCTTTTTTTTTTTGTAGATACTATAGGGGGAGAGAGAGATAGGGATTTTTTTTTTCTTTTGAAACTATAGGGATAGAGAGAGATAGGGATTTTTTTTAATATAAAGTTTATTGTTTTATAATGCGTAAGTCACCATGTTTAAAAAACTTGTATATTGGTGTAAAGATTTCACATGAAATTAGGAAATTTATAAATAAGAGTTTGAGTAATTAAATTTACATTTGTGTGTATGCATAGATAAAAAGGGGGAGCATAAGGAGAGAAAGATCTAGATACTTTAGGGGAGAGAGTCTTCATATTTTGTTTTTTAAGGATTTTTTAAGAGTTATATATAAGGTTATTACAGCTGATCAATTATCATACAGTTCATGAGAATATTATGAAGATTTTAAACTAGCTCGTATTTTAGAAATTCATCAACAACCTTTCTATTAACTAAGCCCCACCCTTGACTTTTTGTTAAAGGTACTAGTATTAAAGTCAGAAAGTATAATTGACTTAGTGATCATCTTCTACATTTAAAAGTACTTAGTGTTATGAGTGTGTGTGTCTATATATATATATATATATATATATTATAGTATAAGCTTGGTAAGTCTTTCTGTCGACTAATCAAGTACTAGTTGATAGTTACATTGTATCTCAGCCAATATGAATTTGATCCAAAAAGTAATGGAAAAAAAGCACCTCCATTTAATTGGTCAAAGACATTGAATTTTATCATAGCCAAACTCTAAGGATAATATCTTACTAAGTGTTTGGTATGAGAATTCGTGCCATGATTTGAATCATAGTTTGTGACTCGTCACAGTGTTTTCTCATAGAAAATACACATAAACCAAGAATGATTCTGAATTCATGAACTGAACATCCACTTAATATTGTGTATAGAAAAACTTAGTATGACTAATCCTCTGTCTATTTTTCTTGTCTTGTTTCTTGCTCAAGAGTACCATTGTACTATTTCTAAATTTACTTATTGGGACGAAAATTCTCCATATACAATTTGTATAGTTTGAAATTTGATAAAGTCATGATATAAAAAAGAATAATTTGATTGTGTATTAAAAAAAATATTATTACAACTATAACCTTTCGTCTATTTCTCTTATCTTGTTTCATGTTGGAATAATACTATTATACTACTTGTAAATTTACACTATTCAGACGAAAAATTCCCAATCCAATTTTCGTGTCTCGTTTCATGTAATTTGAAAAAGTTACGAAATTGAAAGGAATAATTTGATTGTGTGGGACCCAGGTGCCAGAATGTGTGGTGGAAAAGAGATCATCAGCATATAACAAAGGAAGGGTGTTCATCCATGGAGCAAACGAGAGCACAGCAAAGGCATACAAGAAACAGTTCCAAACGGACTTGGCAGGCTTCCTTAGATCAAGATCAAAGGAGATGAAGAGAGGTGGGTCCATGTTCCTTGTCTGCTTGGGGAGGACCTCACTGGACCCCACAGACCAAGGTGGGGCTGGGTTACTCTTTGGGACCCACTTTCAGGATGCTTGGGATGATCTTATCCAAGAGGTAATTATATCAACAACAACAAAAAAAAAAAAAACATTCTGATTGTGTGCTTGTGTGTCAACAGTGTATACCATTTCATTCACAACAACAATAGTTATATAAGAAAAACAAAACAAAACAAAACAAAACAAAATAAAAGAAGGTATGATTAGCTATAGTTTTGTTTTTTGGCTAGAGAAAAGTCCGAGAAACCGGTGTTAGCGTTACCAAAGCGGCTATTCCAGGCGCCAAAAGAAATGTTCACTAAAAGTCCTACCCCTCAACGAGAATGTGTCACCTCGACTGCCTAACGGTCCGAATATCTAAGGACGTGATCTTAGGTGGCGAGCGTGCTAAATTGAGTGTCGAAATGGTCGAACAAATTTCAATATTTAAGTCTCTTAAAAAAGATCACGACACTCGAACCTTTGACCACAGACCTTAACCATGATAATTCTTTACGAGGGCACCACACACCATGGTTATGATTAGCTGTAGTTGGTCTGGTCTCACAAGACCTTATTATCAAATTCTACTGGTCATGATTAAACTGCATTGATTCTAGCCGTGGATTATCCCCCCAAAATGAATCTAGCCGTCCATTCTTTTTCCTCATTGTGTCGGCAGAATGATGACTATCATTGGCAGCTGGTGGATGGTCCATATGTTCCTAGCTGCCATGGGAATTTCATAGAGAGTGATGAGAAACAACACAATCATATCTAGTGTAGCGAGACAAGGAGAACACTTTGATACATCAGATCATTGTTTTGATCAGATGATGATTGAAAAAAACAAAACAACACAAAAACAAAAACAAAAAAAATAAAATCAAAATAAAAAGCCCTTTAATATATTGTCTGTTTATTTCACAAACTGAGTACGTACACAGAGAGTTGTAATCCTTTTTCTGATAAATAAACTATTCTGATCACAGCAGTACATTGATTATGATTAGGTTTTCATAGTTTATCTCAGTGAAAAAGAACTATATATTTATAGTATACAGCTTGAGGTGTCTCTGTGTGTTTGTGTCTATAAATATAAATATATATAGATATATATATATATACCCTTTTCATTTGGCCATGGAAAGAAGAAAACAAAATTGAAATATCTTCATTTAATCCATCCATTAGACAAGTTTGTCTTGGTTTAATTCTGAGTTTGACTAAGAATACTAGAATATATATATATATATATACATATATAAATATGTAGCAGGCTTCACAATCATATACTTTGCTAGATGATTAGTACCATAATAGTCCAGAAATGTTCAACTCATATGAACCTTTTCCAAATCATGCGGCAATAATCCTACTTATTTATGCATGACAAATTACTTTAGTTTAATCTTAAGAGGAGACAATTTTGGATGACAAAGGCCCTATTATTTATGCTTAACCCACCGTATTACCTTTTCTAAGAGTAGGTTATGAAGAAAAACTTTACAGGTAAGACACAGTTTTAAACCGTCAGCTTTTTATTAAGTTGTATCGATTTTATATTACTTTGATGTGATTTTTTTTTTACTTGAATGTATTTAGTGACGTACACTACCGATATGTAAGAATAGCTTACAACAGAAAGCTCCTGCTTTTTCACTTGTATGCATTTGTGGTCCAAGGCTTATTAAAGAAGTAGTTGTTAATTATGATGATGATCACTACAGGGCCTAATTAGTAGTGAGAAAAGGGACAATTTCAACATTCCAGTGTATGCGCCAAGTCTGCAAGACTTCAAGGAAGTGGTAGAGGCAGATGGGTCATTTGCCATAAACAAGCTTGAGGTCTTCAAAGGAGGAAGTCCTCTTGTGGTGAACCAACCTGATGATGCTGGTGAAATAGGAAGAGCCCTTGCCAATAGCTGCAGAAGTGTGGCAGGTGTCCTTGTTGATGCCCACATTGGTGACCACCTTAGTGAAGAGCTCTTTTCAAGAGTGGAAAGTAGAGCCACAAACCAAGCCAAGGAGGTACTTGAGCAGCTACAATTCTTTCACATAGTTGCCTCTCTTTCTTTTGCTTAGAGAAGAAGTGAGGGGTAAAAAGGGCATTCAATATTTTTTTTTTTTTTTTTTTTACCTTAGTTTTTTTTTTTTTTGGGTCATGTTTTTCCTCTCTTTTGTTTGTTATCTAATCTCCATTGAACATTATTCAAGTCCTGGAGATATGTCCCCATCAGACTTAAGAAGTGAGCTCCATCAGTAGGGTCACGTGGGTCACACCATGCGGGACCCACTTTTTATGTCTGATGAGGATATTATCTCACCGAGCTTTCATCTCCATTTACATAGAAAATGAGAAGAGTCCAACACACAAAAAGAGAGGGGAAACTTGTTAAGGCTTTTCTCAGTGCTATCCTTTTTTGTTTCTCCTTTTTTTTCTTTTTCTTTTGCCTTTTCTTTTGGGTGTTAATGTTATTACTGACTGTAGTGACCTTTATTTCCTTATGTGCTTTTGTGACTTTGTGTTCCCTTGAATGTAAACTAAGGTAAATAAAGTTAGCTATGTAGTAAACCCTTTTCGTTTTTTCTTCCTTTGTAGCTTATTATGATGTCTATATGTGAAATTAAAGTTGTATTAATGACGGGTTTGCTTTTGTACCTAGCTGACGACTTTGTAAACTGCCTTTATTGATTATTTAATTTGCTATCTTTACTATTACTGTTCTTCTTTAATTTTGTCCTTCTTAATATATTATTAAAAAAAAAACGAGGAGCTGGGTGTGTGATATATTTGTGAGTTAAAGCAGTAGTTATTTCAGTTAAAGCTCGAAATATTTTTTAATCTTTCTTTTAAAAAGTTTTGGACTATTTGTTGTCGTTTTTTGCTTTGTGGATCCTTGGATTACACTTTTGCATGTTTCTACTATTTTCTAACTTGCTAGCCATATTATTTACCTTTAAATAAATAAAGCCCGGACAGAACCAACAGAAGACAATTTATATATGAAATAATGTGTGTGTGTGTATTTCATCTAACATAAAAGATTATAGAACCTTTTCCATTATTCCTCTGATCCCAAAATTTACATAAGTTTCCCACAAAGGAATCCACACTTTAAAATCCAAACACTTATTCGGATTTTTTTATATATACCAACTCAAAAGACGATCAATTGTCATTATTTTACTGATAGATTCAGTATTCTATTGTAAAAATGACATGATATTTTTTAAAACGTTTACAGATAAAAAAAAAATGACAATTCAAATGCTACATCAGTTGGTATGAAAAAGTTGGAAATGTTGGGATCTCTTGGGCATTATCCTATCATGAAATTCTCAATCTTGATCAGATTCCACATCAGATGAATAGAATATGATTATATCGGCTTCTGATGGAAATTTAAAGCTAACCCTTTTCCTTACTTTCCCACTTTGACTTCCGCTAATTGAAGAAACATCAGTTTCTCCACTATGAATGACCTCTTCATCAACCTTCAAAAGCTTCTCTATAGAAACACTCTCCCTGGCTTTCGGGGTAAAATCTACGCAATCTTCGCGAAAAGGTGGACAAATTCTCTTCAAGGATTGTCGGAAAATGTTGTACTCTCCACCATTGGAGGCGCAAACACGGTCATCATTATTGCCTCGTAAATCAGAAAAGATCAATTCCTCAAGAGTTCTTTTCTTCATCACCACTTTCAGCTGATGGTATTGGTGCTCATTCTGTGGAGTTTTCGACTTGTTCTTCTCTGTCCGCGAGCATGTCGGCTTCATGAACTCGATTATCGATCTCAGAAAACCGACATTGCAATGATCAGAGTCCTCTTTTGGCAACCTTTCAGAACTTGAACGTCCTAAACAAGACAGGCATAGTCTCATTTCTTTTAAAGGATAACAACTCAAAAAATGGAGGAACAATGTGCAATATGGTTAAAGTAACTACGTAAAATGTTATATATGTGTGTGTGTGTGTGTATATATACATGTATATAGAATGCTTTTATATGACGGATTTTTCAAGAGAAAAGAATCTCATAGGAGGATAGACTTATTAGAATCCTTGTTATTGACAAAATCCAGTACATGGTGATCAAAGTAGAGAGGCAATAATAATAACGTGTAACAAATCTAGGAATATAGTATACCCTTTTGCAAATTACTAAACAACCCTTTTCAGCTCTTTGTTTAGGGGCTTTGAAACCAAGGGCAAAATGGTACCTAGAGAAGTAATAGATATACCTCGGATTAGATGTTGCAGTCATATACTGCATATAAAGTTAAATTATGTCCATTTCTTAGGATTATCCATTAATTTTGCGAGGAAAAGGTTTATTCGGTAAATTTCTTGCTGAGGACAATGCTAGGCAAGCAATAAAAACAAAAGTTATCGATACAATAGATAGAGCAGATTTTGTATGTCAAATGGCAAGGTCTCTCCCACTTTAACAGTTAATGTCGTTTCTTAAGAATTTTATTGTTTTATTGTTGGTGTCGTTTTTTGTTTTTCAGTTTTTCGTTTATTGTCGTTTTCACATGATATTCCAAAATTCCGCAACAAACGAAGATGCAGAGGATTCTCAGTTCTAGTTTTTATTGCCTTATTGTTGGTGTCGGTTTTTTTTTTTTTAGTTTTTATTTATGTATTTTTAATATGTTTTGTAAAAATTAATTTTGTGCAATTATTTCTCAAAAAAGTTCTGCGCAATTAAGTAGGAGGGTAAAAGTCACACTTAGATCCGTTTCGTTCGTTGATTCGAGTTTTTAATTCGAGTTGATATGTGACTTTATGTGAGAACTTTTTATTGTAGCAAAAAAGTTAAATGTGATTGTTTTTTAGAGCTTTTTACTATAATAAAACTCGAATCGGTGAAATGAACGAGATCTTAATGTCTCAAAAAATGCCGTAGGATATTAAAAACATCTTTTTTAAAACATTAAGGTATCATTTTAATATTATCCAAAACACACGGTATCAATAATGATTTTATCTTTTTTTGTCATGATTTTTTCTAGGTTGTTGTCGTTTCTAAACTACTGTAGCATTCTCGTTTTTTTTTTTCATTCTTACTGATGGTTTTTTCTGTATTGTTTCCCCCTTTTGGTTGACAATTCAGGTTCTTTGAGGTCTTTTTATATTTTTTGTCGTTTTCTAAAGACATCGTCATATTCCTTTTTTTTTCTTGGTTTACCATTCGCATTTTGATGTAGTTTGTAAGTGACTTGCTGTCGTTTCCAAACTGTTCTCTTATTCGGAAAATGTCGTTTTCTCGTTTGTGTCGTTTTTAGTCTAGTTTCTAGCGTTTCGCAAATCATGTCGTTTTTTTATTTTTCTTTTAACAAGTTTCTATTGTTGTTTTACAAAAACGTTCGTCATTTTATATTCGGTGTCGTTTATTGTACCTATACTACTATGAACATAACTTTTTTTTAAGGATAATGCTAGTAACATTAACTCAAATTTCAACTTTTATGTACTAACTGATATGACATGTGAGTTATCACTTTTTTATTGGTGGGTGTTTAAAATATTGTCACGTTATTTAATGATAAGAGATTGCATCTACTAATAAAGAAATTGACAACTCACATATCACATCAGTTAGTACATAAAAGTTGAGATTTGAGTTAGTCATCTAGGTTATGTTGTAATTAATGGGTGCTTGATTTCTATCGGCCAATTAAGGGATACAACCATTTTAGGTAAATAATGAAAATTCATGACTTTTCTAATAAGTATTTCCTCATTTCCTGTGCAGATACAATGGGACTTTTTATGATAAATGTTTCATGAAGAGTTGTAATTATCAACGAAAAGTCGTAACTTTTAGAATATTTGTTTAGAAAAATTGTAATTATTTTGAATTAAATGGAGGATGTTTTTCATCTCTAAATAAAAACTGATATCCTCTGCACTATAATAGTAAATACCAATTGCTCTATCTAGTATTTGCACTGAAAGTTAACGACTGAAAAAAGAGAATTTCTCTGTGCCAAGGCTTCGTATGAATGCCCATAATTTCATCATGGATCAAGGCATGGGAAATGTCAATTGTTTGGTCAGTCAAAATCATAGAAGTCTTAAGATACTGGACTATTGTTTATGCAATATTATAATTTGCAAAAAAAAAAAAAAACAAAAGAGTAGATAGCTTTACCAAGTCGAACATTCTGAGTAAAGTAAAGCAATCAGAACGTCTTTTAGATCTAAACTTGGTCCTTTGATGTTTGGAAGATGTTTAGATTGGCTTTACAGAAACTACTCACCAATGCAAGACCAAATCTAACTTGGTGCTATGATGTTAGAAGATGTTATAGATTGGCTTTCCAGGACTATTCACCAATGCAAGATCTTTGATTCAAGTACTTTGCGAAGAACCCCAGATGCCATGACAGAACATCCACTTAGACAAGAACAATGTTAATGTTATAAAACACCGAGGAATGCTGTTGAGCATCACCTACTAATAAAATGTTGGTCCTGCAACAAGAGATCTATAAAAATGAAACCCACCTGTGGTGCTTTGCACCGAGCACCGACGGTGTCCTAAGCATTTTTTTCTTAAGCAAGGCATGCCCATCTCATTAGGAAAACAAAAAGGGAGGGGTACTAAAACAAAGACAGGTGAAGTGAGGGATGAATCAATAATTTTTCATTCACACAAGCCAGTAATGCGAATCAAAGGTTCAAGACAACCAAGTATTCGTGCATGAATTTTTTGACATTTACAAGCCAACCGTGCAAGCAGAGTAGAATGACCTACAATCTCTCTTAGCAAAAAGGATCTCATTGACTGGCTTTGGCTGATGGATTAGTCAACAACTCAAGTGATTTTATCAAGTAGTCCACTGCAACCGACACATCATCAAATGCCAACGCACCAACCGCGAATCTGGCGGCCTTTTGTGCCTCGGCAACTTTCTCAGGCGGTGCCTGGTAGTTGCTGTCATACTTGTATGCCTTCGTTGAAGGAGGGGCAGGTTCTGAAACAGACCCGTTTCTGCTACTTGACTGGAACTGGACAGTTGGTTGGTGGCTGCTTGTAGGGGGTGCTGATTGGGGAGGGGGAGCGTAGGAAGCATCAGCACCTTGATAAAAAGGAGCATAGTGGGACGAGACCGCGGGAACACTGCTCTCAGAAAAACTTGGATAAGATTGGAAATGGGGATAGGAGTAAGAGGAGCTTTCAGGAGGATAATTATGAGGCAAATGCTGCTGGGGTTCTTGGGAATAGGATTGATGGTGGTATGGCTGAGGATAATCTGAAATTTCGGGTCTATGAGACGGAGGTGGAGGGAAGTCGTGTGCAGAGCAACTGGCAGTCGGGTAAGTTTGAGGAGCTGTTGGGACGTTTATGGAATGCTGATTGTTGACGTCATCATGGAAATGGTGTGGCGGATGTTGATTATTATCTTGATACTGAAATGATGGTGGAATGTTTGTAGAATGTTGGTCGTTCACTTTATCATGAAACTTGGCCGGCGGGGGAATATTTGAAGACAGTTTGTCGTTAACCGAATCATAGAACTGAGATGGATCAGGTTCCTGTCTGGAATTAACGGATGCAGATTCACTAGGCGCAGTATCCTGCAAAGACATGTTTGAAGACTCCTATCAGTTGTCTTGCATACAAAACTAGGACAACATAATTATAGTGAGAAAAAGAAAGAAAGAAATATGCATAGTTGCTTTTAGTGCATGTATATATGAATTGGTCAGCACGCTGAACATTAAACTACTTTCAGGTTTAGAAACATACATATGCGCCATCAGGGTTACTTGATGGAATTGACAGATCGTCATCACCAGAGGGAGGGCCTGGATTTGGCTTCCTTCCTTCTTTTAATGCTTTTCTTATATCAGCTGCCTTCCAAGCTGCATACTTCTGTTTCTCCTCAAGCTGTAAAAATTGATTGTGAAAAAATAAGCAATGCAAAAATCTAATAGTAGAGATCCATGTTATTAATAACACATAGCACATAACATATAACACCAAAAAATATGCATGCAAAATCCAGAAGCTTAGATTCTTAATCAACAAACAAGAAACTTACATCAGGCTGAAGTGCACCAAACTGGTTAATAATCTCAAAGAAAATGCTTGCAGCATAGAATGTTTTCGCAGTACTCCTGAAAAATGGAGAAAATAGACGAGATCAAAAGCAGATATAACCTTCCAAAGAAAATATAGAAGGCTGGTATATACAAGCATGAATTAGGACTTAAACCACAATCCCAATAAATACCGAATATGTTTACTTTGGACAAACTGAGATCATGACAGTAAACTAATGTTCTTAGAGTTGAGCCTGTTTGAGGAAGCACACAGACAACAAGAGCATAAAAAGAAGGAAAAGAAATCCAAATAAAAACTCACCATAAATAAAACTATAAACTTATTATAAAAATAAATAAAAAAATAAAAATAAAAATAAAAAAACAACAACAACAACAAAACATTGTCGAAAAAGTAGATAGCTTTAGTTGGTGCATAAAAAACACAAAGGAGACGGCTATGGACTCATGAGTTATTATGACAAAGCAAACGGTAAGTTGTTGTTAAGAGTATAGGCATATAAATGAAAATTTATTCAACGTACAAATCCGCTCGACCAGCGCGATCTTGCTTATCTGCTTTCCCAAATACATTTAAGGCAAATCCTTCCAGATATAGATTGTCCTCAGGCCCCAACTTCAGGGACTTCTTATCCTGTAAAGCACCATTTTGGGTAAAAATTAATAAAGAGGAGACACCTAATAATGCCCAATTCCATAGGAAAAAGAATCTCTTAAATACAAACAGTGTGTGGGCATTACAGGCAGCAAAAACATGTTACAGTTTTGGCTGCAAAGCGGATCCCAACATTTATTTTCGCACACCGAGATTAGGCAACCGGTGAACTGATTATCACACAGAGCCTAAGTACTAGTGCTTATAGGAGTAGTTCTAGGAATCTTGACTTTTTGATACCAACGAGCGTGACAATGAAAATGAATTATCATCCTTACATTGGTAAATCTAACTTTTTAATATTAATTAACACGACAATTTTTCAAACACCTACCAATAAAAGAATGAAACTCATATTTAGAATTAAAAAGTTGGGATTCCTATCATTATTCTATAAATTCAAAATTATTAATTGATTTTTTACTCAAATTTTCAAAAATGGCAACAAAAGATTCACTCCATCCTTTAAACAGTTCTCTCAGCAAACAAAAATTAGAAATATATCCAATCTTCAGAAACCAAAAATACAAGCTGAAAATTCATCAAATAGATTCTAAAAATACAATCTAAATAAAAGAGGAAAAATCAAAGGACCTTCTCGAGCTGGTTCATGAGGGAAATAAGCAAGGCATTGGTTGTCTTGGTACGCTCGTTCTGAGGAATCCTTAACCCTCTTTCCATCGCATATAACCGACCTATAAATATAATCAGATAATAATTAAACATTAATCTAACGTAAAACAACATCAAGGAATAAGATTACGGGAGAGATCGAAGAATCTGCGAGGGTTTTATAGCTGATTATCGAAAAAAGTGATGAACTTTCAAGGTTTAGAGAGAGAGAGATAGAGAGAGAGAGAAAGAGAAAATTACAGTAATAAGCGACGAGAGGCTCGTGTTTCTGCAACTCATCGGCTCGTTGGAGGTACGGCAAGAGGAGCTTCGCGGGCTCGGTTTCGCTCGCCATTAATGGAGTTCTCTGTGTCTAGAGAGAGAAAGAGTCGAGAGAGAGAGAGAGAAATTTTTCAAAGTTGATCAAAGGAAGGCAAAGTTTGGATTTTGGAAGAACAAAGGCAGAGGAAGATGGGTTTTGGGGCGACCTATACCGACGTCGTTTTATTGACAGACTAATCTCTTTTTTTTTTTTTTTTAAGACCAATCTTCGAAGCTAAGATAGTAAGATTTAATAATTATTTTTATTTTCTCTAGCGGTGGCGTCCTCTTAATTTTAACTTACTACTCATCCACCTCCACATTTTCTTGTATTTATATGAAGTCCCTCATGTTAACCTTTCTTTCTCGAATATACCCTCCATGGTTCCCTAACATAAAAATAACGGTGATTTAAGGAAATGACCAAGGTTTTATTTGTTTCGACATTCCAATGATAGTGATTTGGTTTGAATTGTAGGATTTGAATTGTGGTGTTTTGAATTGCGATTCAAATCAATATTTAAATACGTAAATAAATTATAATTTGAATTGAGAATAAAATTCAAATTGTATTTGTATAGATTATTAAAAATTATCATTGGAGTTTTACAACAAATGTTATAAAATCTCATTATAAACGAAGTATTTTAAATATGCAATACGAGTGAAGATTTGTTCATCTCTTTATTATGAACATACAAAAAATAAAACCATCTTAATTGGAGTTGAAATGAATAAGTAAAAAAAAGAATTGTGTTTCAAATTGTGAATTATAAGGAGTGTGAATTTTAAAATCAACCATTTGAATTGTAATTGACGGTTTAAAGTTATTAGATACAATTCAAATTATTGAATGGTTCAAAACCAAACATGGGGCAAGTTTAGGGAGTGTTTGAAAAATAAACAAACAAACAGGGACAGAGGTTTTGGAGGGAGAAAATAATCGTTTTCTTGGTCAATCTGATATCTCATATTTATTGATAAAAATAATTGATGAATCTCATTTTACTCAGATCATTTTCTTTATTATCTGACATCATCCTGGACGGATACTTGACATTTCCCCCATCTTTTACGTCCTTCACAAGGGAAAACGAAAGCCAATATTTCCTTTTTTCGTAAATGCATGATGTGATGGATCAAAAAAATATGAAGAGAACGTTTGATTCATGAATTAGAATCATGAGATTAGAATTATTTTTGATTTACGTGTATTTTTTGTAAAAAAAAATACTGTAACGAGTCACGAACCATGATTCGAATCAGGGCCCGAATCCCTCTTCCAAACATCCTAGAAGTTTCAAATGGAATGTGTTATTTATAGTCCAAATCTGATGTCCTCATTTTTCAATTTCGGAGGCTGTCCCGCCGAGATAGAAAAAAATGAGACAGTGGATATTTCAAATGGCATGTGTTACAAAGCAAGTCATTCCTTTAGTTTGGAACCAGAATGTAATTAGTTCCATTATGGACTTGTGGCACCACCTCTCCTGGTCCAGCTAGTGCTTACTCTTGTACAAGGGATCAGAAATTTGAAAATAGATTTTGCTTGAATATAAAATGAGTAAATAAATAGTTTGTGGAGAAAGTTGATTAAGTTTAGAGTGAGAATTGACTCCATAGAGATTTAGACCCCGTTCATTTCACCGATTCGAATTTAGAATTCGAGTTTTACTACAGTAAAAAACTCTCAGAAACAGTCACATCTAACTTTTTGCTACAATAAAAAGCTTTCACATAAAGTCACATCTCAACTCAAATTAAAAACTCGAATCAGCAAATTGAACGGATGATTAGTAGTAGTTTAATAGGTTAGAAAGTGAGAATGATTCCATAGATATTAGGACATGCTAAAAGCTTCTCTTTCTCTTTTAGGTTGATTGTTTTTCTTATACAAATCTAAAAATATTGATATGTAACCAATGTGGACTTTGCAAACCACCCTTTTTTTTCTTAAGAACTTAAATCAATTTAATTTTCAAGAGGCTATAAAAGTCGTACATTGTACATGCTCCTGCTATATATATAACCATTGTTGATCACTTCATTTTAACCAATCAAGAAATTTGAATCTGAACTCAGGGATCCACTCATAATATATGATGGCAAAAAATCTTCAATGTCAATTTTTAAGGCTCCGTTCATTTCACCGATTTGAGTTTAGAATTCGAGTTTTACTAGAGTAAAAAGCTCTCAGAAACAGTCACATCTAACTTTTTTACTACAGTAAAAAACTCTTACATAAAATCACATATCAACTCGAATCAGCAAATTAAACGAACCCAATTAATTAAAAACTTAGCAGTCATGATCGTAATAACTAGCACTTTTTGTCACGTCATCAGTGCCAACCTAATACTTGTACACCGCTAGAAAGGCTCTTACCATATACAGTAACTTTTGTGAATTTCATAGACAACTTCTCTCATGAGTAAAAGTTAATCAAAATTTCCATTTACATCATAGTTTGCTTTCAAATCTACCCCTATTTCCCAACCCAAAAAAATTTATAGTTGTCAACTGATCAGTTCATACTTGTCATACCCCTTTGCAAGTGACAAAACTAACAGAGACAAGATAACAAAGCCTTGGTTTTCTCAATTCCAGCCCTAGCCTCATCACACCGAATGTCGATCTGTTCGACATTCTTTTGCTTTTCCTTTTACTTCCTTGTGCTCAGCCTTGGTAGCCTCACAAGTGTCCTTTGAGTTTTACCATGTTCTTCTTTGAGAGCATCAATCTCCAAATCACTTTTGGCCAATTTCTCCTCAAGCTCCTTCAGCAATGCCCGAGTCTCTTCGATCTGATCCACGAGCACAACAGCACTTTCCCAAGCTTCATTAAGGGCAATTTCGCAACTACTTGGACCTTTGGCTTTCTCATTTTGCTGAGCAAGGAGACTATTCTGACAAGCTATCATCTCCTGCAGACTTTCATGCTCTTTCTTCGCTTCCGAGAGTCGGCAATGGTGTGCCATGAAAGCTCTAACTTCCTTGTATAAATCACTGAATAGACATTTGGTTCGTGGATTCAGAACCATGATTCGAAATTATTCTCATTTTACGTGTATTTTTTTAAGAGAAATACACTGTAAAGAACTATGAATCACGATTCAAAATAAATGACGAATACAGGAAATAAACATCCCCATTGTGAAGCAAACTCAATGATGCAAAAGCCTTGTTTGCCTTGTCTATCATTGATTCCACATCCACATTGCCCTGAGATATGAGATCTGCAATCAAAGCCTTCCTTAAGAATTCAGCTTTTGGTGCGTGTCGTTGGCGCAACCTCGAAGACTTGTTCTGAAATTTCATGTTCGGGAAATGGCGAAGCCTTGACAGTAAGCTGCTCTCATTTACATCCAGAAGAACAGTGTCACTATCATTATCTCTAAGGGAGTCGCTCTGACTGTTTATCTCATTTACATCCACAAGAACAGTGTCACCACCATTCTCTCTAAGGGACTCGCTCTGACTGTTTACTCTCTTCTGCTCTTCCTTAATTGCAGACGGAACATTACCCATACTATCTTTCCCTGTTGGTTGTTGACTGTCGTAATTGCGCGATATCTTGGTTGGCGGCGGTATCTTGTTTGCATCCACAAGAACCTCATTCTTCCTAAGAGACTCGTTTTGACTGTTTACTATCTTCTTGTTTTTCTTGATTGGAGACAGAACACTACCTGTTGTATCTTTCCCTGTTAGTTGTCGACTGTCGTAATTCCGCAGCATCTCGGTTGGAGATGGTATCTTGTTTGCATCCACAAGAACATCATTTTCTCTAGGAGACTCGCACTGAGTGTGTACTATCTTCTACTTTTTCTTGATTGGAGATTGAACATCACTCGTTGTACATTTTCCTGTTAGTTATTTTCTGTCGTAATTTCGTAGTGTCTTAGTTGGAGACAGTATCTTGTTTGCATCCACAAAAACAGTGTCGTTATCATTCTTTCTAATTGTGCTTTTTAGTTGGTGGATTTGTGCCATGATTTGAACCATGATTCGTTGTTCGCTACAGTATTTTCTCTCACAAAAATTACATGTAAATCGAGAATGATTCTGAATTTATGAACCAAACGTCCACTAATAGACTCACTCTTCTGTTTTTTCTTCATTGGGGATGGAACATTACTCGCTGTATGTTTGCGGGTTGTTTGATTCCTGCCGTAACTGCGCAGTACCCTGGTTGGAGGCAGTATCTTGTTTACATCCACAAGAAGAGTGTTGTTATCATTCTTTCCAAGAGACTTCTTTTGACTGTTTATGCTCTTCTGTTTTTTCCTTGATCGGAGATGGAACATTACACGGTGGCGGTGCCTGTTTGCGCGGCGGTTTTGCAATGCCGTCATTGGACAGTGTCTTGATTGGAGGTAGATTTAATCAACAGTCTAGCTTCCAAGTAACCAACCAAAGCGAAAACAAAAGCAAAAACAACTATCATTATGGTTATAGTTTTTCTCAATAAATTGTACTAAAAGGCCAAACTTACACATAAAGTTAGCATTTGTTAACATAATAAAGAAACATGGGGAATAATAACTAAAATTTCTAACCTTAATCGAAATGCAAGAATTCTGCATTTTTCTAATCACACAAAATCCAGCCCCGATTTTAGATTTTGTCAAAATTAGCTATGCAGAAAGATACTATTACCCTTCCTGAGTTTAGGCGGCCGCCTCATGCCCCACCTGGATTTTTTTTTTAATTTTAATGTTGTAGGTATATTTTATTAAATTTTGTAGTTTGCCCTCCTTAAAATTCTAAAACTATATACGTCCGCCTTCCTTTAAAATCTAAAATTATATATCCGGTCTCTCCTCACTTAATTTTCTGACTCCACCCCTGAAGGGGAGGATATTTCTCTTATTGTACGTATATTTTGTTAAATTTTATAATTTGCCCTCTCTAAAACTCTAAAAATATATACGTCCGTCCTCCCTTAAAATCTGAAATTATATGTCCGTCCCTACTCACTTAATTTTCTGGCTCCACCTCTGAAGGGGAGGATATTTTTCTTATTGTATTTAGCTTGCATTCCCTCCCTTTTGAAGATTTGAAATCCCTCATCCCGATCCATTAACTGCTCTTTTCTCTCCTACTAAACAACAATATGGCCCAAAATCCTTTCCAT